GAGAGAAGTAGGCTCCCCGCTCAGCAGGGAGCCCGACGTGGGGCTCGATCCCAGAACCCTGGAATCATGACCTGGGCCGAAGGCAGCCGCTTAACCGACTGAGCCACCCAGGTGCCCCAAAAAGCAGTCTTTAAAATAAGCGAAGGAAGGGCATCTGGGTGGCTCAGCAGATTGTCTGCCTTTGGCTCAGGTCATGATCCCAGGGTCCTGGGATTAAGACCCACATGCTGAGCAGGGAGCCTGCTACTCCCTCTCCCTTTGCCTCTCTCTCTCTCAAATAAAAATAAAATAAAATAAAATAAGCGAGGAGCTTTCATTTCTTTCTTCAAACTTTCCACTATCCATTTCTCTGATGGGGTCACGCACCTAGATTGACTCCTTCTGCTAAGTGTTCTGCTTCTTCATATATTTTCTGATCATTGTTATATTTGAATAATCCCCTAAGAAGCACCATGGTTTTTGTATTATTAGCAGAAATAAAAATGCATCTGCCTAAAGAATTTCTCCTGTCAAGTATCATGCTAATATATACTGTTCTGAATTTGAACTGTATCAACTATTAACGTAGAAGGAACTTTTCCATGGTACTTCTTCCCCCAGTGGAATTTTGATAACACAAGTGATGTGATAAAAGAAACATACCTGCTGCCTTTTCTTCTTGAACAGGTATCTTCCATACCAGTGGAAGGAGTGACAGAAGTAGAGTAAGGAGTTCTTCTCTACATGTCAATGCCTGTATTAGAAACAAAGCAATCCTTCATGTTCTGAGGTCATGAGACACATAATTCCTAGTACCTTGTCTTAAATTGAACCAAAAAATCCCTTTTCTTGAAAGGTTGCATTTGAAAAGCTAAGAGTCAAATTAACCTATCTTAAATCCAATTAAAGTTGTGGTACTTCTCAATTTATAAACCTTTCCAAGGACAGAAGAATGTAAGAGTATTTGACGGTATTTAGCACATTCTTGCTGATTTTTCCCAAAATAGCTGTTATTACCACCATGCACATGGCAAGAATTTCTCATCGCTGAAAAAACAAATTTGCTAGGTGAAAATGAAAAGTTAAGCCCTATTAATTAGCAAACCAATAACATGAAGTTACTAGAAAAACAAAATCTTCATGCAGTTAAATGTAAAACTCAGAGAACACAATTTTAAAAAGAGAAATTGACATTATTAATAAATGATATATATATATATAAAGAGAGAAAGACTTATTAGTGAAGATAATCTAATAAATATGTATTGACTGCACACTACGTCCACAGCACTTACTGTCTTACCCTTTCTGGAGGATATGGTCCTGGAGAAGGTCCCCTCATTTGGTCCATAAAATACATACACACAAACAGTTAAAGAACAATAGAAGGCATGTAGTATAAGTCAGTACCTGGGTGTGGTACAGATATTCAGTTTAGGAGTTCAGGTAAAGGAGCGATCATTACCAGTTAGAAGTGTGGAAGTGGGACTGGAGCTAGAGAGCTAGACTGGGACACTGGGGACATGGGTGGTCAGGGAATTAGTGACAAATCAAGTTTAAGTTCCTCACTTCAGTCAGTGCAGAAGAAGTCAGAGTAATATAATCAGATTTGCTTGTTAGAAAGACCACTCTAGCCACTGTATAGAGGACAGAATTGGGGTGGGAAGGGAAAGGGATTGATCAGTGTTAGAGGCAGGGAAACAATAACCCAGATGACAGAGAATGATAAACGGAAGTGCTCTACAGTAAAATTGAAAAGGAAACATTTTTGAGAAACTGCAAGGAAGAACTGAAATGACTGGCAGTTGATTATCTATGGAGCGTAAGGGGGAAAAAAAAGATCCGCAAGAACTCAAAGAATTCTGGTTTAGGCAACAAGGTGACTAATAATGTCCTCACCAAGATAGGAAATTTAGGAGTGGTACTAGGTTGGGATAGAGATGATGGATCTATTGTTTAGACATATTAAGTCTGAGGTGTCTGTGGGATATTCAAATGGAGAGAGCTTTTTAGTCAACAGTTGGATATATAGATTTGGAGCTTAAGAAAAAGATGTGAAGTACATAAAAAGACTTGGGAGTCACTGGGGCAGAAGTCAAGGACACAGATTTCCTAAGGAGAGAATGCAGAATGACAAGAGAGGACAGATGGGAATGGAGCTCTGGAGAGCAATACTTCAAGAATGAAGAATGGTAGTGCTGGTGAGAAGCCTGCCAAGGAGGCCGAGAAGTAGCTCCCCCAAAGAGATGTAGAACAAGAGAAATCAAGGGAAGAGAGCAGTTGGGAAAGAAGAAAGCCAACCAGGTCAAGAGCTGTTGTTCTTTAGTTGTCTAAGATAATGGCCGTAAAGCATCTGTCAAGTAGAGGGTCACTGGCAACCTTAACAAACTCAGTATTAAGGTAGTGATAAGGATACAAGTCAGATTGCAGTAGGCTGAAGAGCTGAAAGGGAATGAGAAAGCAGGGACACAGCACTCAGACTATTCCTTCTAGTGCCCTGGTTATGAAAAGGCTGAAAATACTTCAAAAGTAAAATCTGAGCTTCTTTTCATGCTTAGAAGGCCCTTCATGACGTGATTCCTACTGACTTGTCCAGTTTCAACTCCCACCACCAACCCTGACCCATCCCCACATGTCCAGCTCTGAAGGGTTTCCTGAATACCACGGGTCAGGCATTGCTCTTGCAATTCTCCACCATCATCTTCCCATCTGCCAAATGCCAACTCATTCTTCAGGCAAGTCTTAGTTCCTCTGTGGAGAGACTTCTCTAATCCCCCCTCAGCAAGTTAGAGATCACATTCCTGATTGACTTCTGGTACAGCAAACAACTTGCTGAACTGTTCATGTCTGAATGCCAGTTGTCCTCCATGATTCAACAAATATTTATTGAGCCCCTACCATGTGCCAGACACTTTGGATGGAGTGGTGAACAAGGAAGACAAAATTCGCCTTCTCACAAAGCTGACACTCTAGCAGGGGAGATGGAAAATAATGGGTACAAATAAGACAATTTCATACAGAATGCTGTGCTATGAAGAAAATTAAACAGGACAGGGATTATAGAGTGACTAAAAGGAGGACATTTAGATAGGCTGTTCAGGATGGGCCACTTGAGCAGATACTCAAAGAGAAGAAGGAATCCATGCAAAGATTTGGAGGAAAAGGGCTCCTAGGAAGTACACAAAGGGTCGGGAATGGGCTTGGCTATTTCACAGAACAGCAAGCCAGCCAGTGTGGCTGGAATAGAATGGGGGGAGTGCCAGGAGATGAGGCTTGAGGGCAGAGGTTGGTGACGTGGTGAGTGCCAGATCTAATGTAGCCTGTGGGCCATGTGAAGGAGTTTGGATTAATCTCTATTAGGATGGAAAACTTTTCCAAACGTTCTTCCCAGTCCTCTCTCAGAGCATGGACTCCTGGGCCCAGGCCCTAGTCCTTAGCAATCACCCCTCTTTCTTGACACCCAATGCCTAGTACAGAGTTGGATGCTAATGTTATCAGCATGAATGACTTTAAATTCTGGATGCATAGTCAAAATTATTTCCAAGGGGCCTATTTCCATGTGCTTTTACCTCAAAATTAGGAAGACTAAAGATGTCTGGATAACATTTCCATGTACAGCTCATACTCAGTATGTACCTCGCCATTTTTAAAGATGCCAGCAAAATGTATATGGTCTTTTAAAAAACGTAAACCAATTTTGGGCACACCATTCCTGTAGAGTCCTCCTGATCTGAGTCTATATCTTTGTCAGATGAACTAATAACATTCTAACAGAGCTTGTGGAAACCTTAAGAGTATGTGAAGTGCCCCAGCCCTTGCTCCACAACAGTACACTGGCAAATCGTCATTGCTACGCGAAGAGGCATTCCTGCCTCCCAGCCTCTGCATGATGCATGGTCTGCAACCTTTCTCACTCCTTCCACTTAGCTAGGGGGGCCCTCACTACCTTCAAGGCTCAGCTGGCAAAACCTCTTTTGTGAAGCTTTTTCTCTCACACCAACCCAAGTTTACTGTTTCCCCCCACCCCTCAGGACTTCATGCCTGTGCCCCCATTTCACCAAGTGGATTCGTTCTTGGAAACCATAGGCCTTTCAATAGAATGAAACTGAAGCAGTTTGGTTTTTGCCACTCCTGCTGGAATTGCAGTCCTGAGGAGGACACCACTTGTCTCCCCGTGGCCCAATATAACAGTGAACAACTCTTGACTTCATTAAATCACAATAATTTCTAAACAATTCATCATTGGGGAACCTCTTGATATTCCTCTGGATCCATTACTTTTTAAGGTATTGCATGTTTCCAGATTTACTTATCCTTTCAAGTTCCAAATAAACCACAGGAATCATTCTATCCCTTTGCAAGTCAGAAAATCTTTTTCTCTTATTTGTGGGCATCCTGGTAAACTAGAACTTGCAGTCCTCTATTTTACCCCAAGCTCTGTTTTTTCTCTCCCAAGGTCCTAATTAGTCACAGTGTCCAGAGGAATGGGGTGCTACTTCATGTCAACAAGGAGAAAGTTCTCAATATGCCATATTTGGCAATATATACCTACACAGATTCCTGGCTATTCCTAGACTGTCCAATCTATAGAAATCACACCACTCTTTGCTTAATACTTACATTTTTATGTTTCTCCTTCTGCAGGGAAAAGGACAGCAACATGCCTTTTTAAATTCCCCAGCAATAATAAACAGTAAAATCACTCTCACTCAGGCGGTAATTTTTTAGTGCAATTTAAGAAACATATTTTAGGTACCTACCAGGTGTCAGGCACTTCCTTTCACAGTTCAAGTAATGGTGACAGGATGGGAGAGGAAGGGCAAATGAGTCAGGGGAAGGGCTGAGATGCAAGGCAGACGGATGTCCAGGAAGCTGCAAAGGCAGGGGGGAACCAGACCAGTGGGGTTCAAGGACCTCAGGACGACAGGCTAAGCTTAGTGCTTGGACTGGATTCAGAATGTGATGGAAGACGACTGAAGTTACTTTAATTGGTATTAATGATATTACTCTAAATCAGCATTTTGACATGCTAATTAAATTTAATGTTCCAGATGGAAGTAGAAATATGTGTGTTAAGTCCTTTATTTCTTCTATCAGAATTTTATAATTATTTGTAATGTACATGTGTAGACACACACACATATATATAAGAACATTTCTTCATTAGTACTGTAAACAGAATCTTTTTTCTTTTATTGTCTAGCTATATAGCTGTGGCTAAAGGAAACAACGATCTTTTGGATTTTTCTGTATGTATCACTTGAAGAATGGTATTTTTATTTCTCCATCTTTCTCATATTTTAGCTGTCATTACCTTCATGATCCACTTTACTACTGTGTGTTTTTAAAACATGAAAACAAACAGAAATAGTCATAAAGAGTTATTCTTATGTTGATTCTATTGTAGAGCTTCTTCCTAAAAAATATTACTGGTTTTTCTACTCTTTGTATATGGCACCCTTTATTCTTAATCTATTTTGTGAGTTTTTGTTAAGAATGGATTAATTTCATCAAACGTTTTTGATGTCTCAGTAGAGCTAAATGTACTGCTTTTTCCCATTGATGTCAAATATTATGCTCAGAGTTCTTGAATTATAACAGGGGTGGCAACCTGTTTTTGTAAACATCCAGAGAGTAAACATCTTTTGGCTTTTTGAATCATATATGGCCTCTTTTGTACATTCTTCTGTTTCTTTTAACGACCCTTTAAAAACTCAAAAACTATTCTTAGCTTGTGGGCTGTCCAGAAACAGA